AATAGATTTGTACATGCTAATTCTATAAACCTAATAAAGTAAGGTGTATGCCAGTCATCAAAAAAAAAAAAAATTAGTACTTAAACTAAATAATCAAATAATAATACTGTATATACTGTATAATATATTATATAATAAATTATTGCGATATAACAACTTTTTTCTATTGATGATAATCTGTAAATTTTTTTGATTAACGAATGGCAACGCAAAATACACTGACTAAAGAAGCTACAATAACGCAACTATTTGGGGATGTCGAAAGATTTGTAAACCAAGGGGATTACTCGAAAGCATTTAAGCCCATTGATAAAAGTAAAATCGAGTTTTTGGAATCGTTTCTACTCTTATCATTATATATTCTAAGAAATTTTACTTCTAGTTCTTCAACTAAATCCGAATGATTACGAGGCGCTCCAGTGCAAAGCAATTACGTACATTCGACTTGAAAAATATCAAAATGCCTTAGACGTCCTTAATAAAAATTTTCCTAGTGATAAGTTTATACTAGAAAGAGCTTACTGCCTTTACAGACTAAATCAGTTTTCTGAAGTGACGGAATTCCTACGCAAATGTCGGGTTGATGGACATAGCAATCTAGGGACACGATACTTAGAGGCCCAAGTGGTTAGTTTTCTATATAGTATAATTTTTATATTTGGCTTTCAACTTATGCATCAACTTACTTTACTAAAATAAGGCATACAAAGTTGAAGATTACAATACTGCTCTTGAAATTTATTACGGATTACTTCAAGAAACAGACAAGGTCCAAGATTAATAATATTTTTATTTACAAATCCATACATCAGATTAAATCAATTTACTCGTTTTGAACATCGATTAGAATGATGACACATATAATGATATTTTGACAAACTTTAATGCTGCTAAAGCAGCTTTGCTGTTTTCCGGAAATAATATATCAGAAAAGGTGAAGTCTTAAACTTGTTGGTTTTAATATTTTATCATTTAAACTAACCAATACTTACACATTAAGTATGTAATGGTGGATTCTCTCAGCACTTACGAATTGGCCTACAACTCTGCTTGTGTACACATCGGTCAGAGAAACTTGAAAAAGGCTGAAAAAATGTTGCTGACTGCTAGAAGTATATTACTATTCCAGCAATTCATGCAAAACTTGAATTTTTGATGGTAATCCATGTTTTGTTTAGGAATATGCAAAGAATCACTTTTTGAAGAAGATTATAGTGAGCAAGAAATTGAACAAGAATTAGGTACTATCAATGTGCAACTGGCTTACGTCCTTCAACTTCAAGGCCAAATTTCTGAAGCAATTGATATTTACCAGTCTGTGCTCAAATCAAAGTGAGTTGTTTTTTTTTGTAAACTTATTCTGTTGCATACGTCGTTTATCCAATTCTATTGGCTTGTTTTTAGGGGTGTTGATATGACTGTGTCAGCGATTGCGTCTAATAACCTTGTTGCGGCTAAAAAGGATACCGAACTGTTTGATTCGGTTCGCAAAATAAAAGTCGCTAGTGCTAATACATTGGAAAATAAATTGTTCAGAAGTCAGCGTCGTATAATTGCTATGAATGAAGCATTATTATCATTGTACATGCATAAGGTTTGTATACCTCCGTCTGCTATTATCTTTAAATACGTGTAATATAACAAAAGAATTTATTTATTTATTTATTTATTATTATTATTATTTTATAGTATGCTACATGTCAGGAAGCAGTTCGTAAGATGCTACAAGTTTATCCTGAAAACGATGATCTGTACCTCATATTAGCATCGACGTCCTATCACCAAAAAAAGAACGCTAAAGCTATTCAAGATTTGCTAGAATTTGCTAAATCAAAACCCCATTCATTATCTATCAATTTTGCTCTCATGCAACTACAGATTTTGCAATCTAATCCTTTAGCTGCATTGGAAACTTTTGAAACTCATTTATCCTCAATTAATGATGAGAAAGAGAAATATAAACCTGGATATGTGGGATTGTTGGTGTGGTTATATGAACAAGCCGGAAAACAAGAAAAGGCAGTAAAAGCGTTAGAAAAAGCTGGTGCATTTTGGAAGCGAGGAGTTACGGTGTGCAAATTTGATATTGAAATCAGGAGTTAAGGCATTTTATGTATTGCAATAACAATATTATGATTTATTATTATAGTCCGATGGAAGCACTTCCATTCTTAAGCAGACAGCAGCATTCAAACTTAAGATAGGACGATATCGTGAAGCAGCACAGGATTATGAACAAATTGTCAAGAGCGATCCTCTGGATTCTCAAGCACTGGCAGGTCTTGTTGCTGCATATTCACAATACGATATTTCTCTTGCTGAAAAATACGAGAGTTCTTTGTTAGATATTGGTACGCCAATGGATATTGATGTGGAATCCCTGGAAAAGGTTGTACCAGGAGTAAAGAAAAGTTATATAAAAAAGACGGATACTAAGACCAGGTAATATTATTTTCTTGAATACATGCAATCCATTTTTTGTTAAACAATTGCTTAAATTTTAGTGAAGGTCCGACAAAGAGAACACCTCGGAAGAAAAAACGAAAGCCTTTGCTTCCAAAAAATCATGACCCCAGTGTTTCACCAGACCCAGAGCGATGGCTTCCAAAACGCGAGAGGTCCACCTATAAAGTGAAAGGTAAGAGAAAACAACAATTATCAAAAGGATCTCAAGGTATAGCAATTGCTGGTGGAGGTACAGGAGGTACAGGAAGTGCCAATATTTTTGGACGGAGGTAATTATTTGCTTAATCTCCTTTTATCCTCAAATCAAAGCTAATAATAATATGCTGTAGTGCCAGCAACCTTTTACCACCCGAAACCGTTGTCACTTCGTCGACTGCTCAACAAGAACAGCCTTTGCAAAAGCCGAAGAGTGGCGGTGGTGATAAGAACAAAAAGAAGAAAAAAAAAGGAGGTAATAAGTGGTGATCAGATCAATCCTATATATTGATAAAAGCAATGTAGAAATTGCGATGTTATCTTAGTTTTAATGTATAATTTGTAATTAGCCATGTGAAAGTTGCTTAAATTAAACAAATAAAATTTAGGAATTAGTACAAATGTTAATTATTTATTGAATACCTTCAATCAATTTGCTATTAATATGTAAATTGCAAGCCAAATTAAGAAAATTATTTTATTATAATTATCAATCTTAAAATATATATGTATAAATTCTTTTTTATACCCAGTATATCTATTAATAAAAACAAACCATGTTTATCAATAAAGAAATATTTATATTTAAAGGGTCCTCATAAAATTCTATCCTTAGCACAATATATTCCGAATGCGTTTTTCCAGCGTAATCAAATCTTGATAAGACTCATAATTTCAGAGAAAACGGACAATTCAACAAATCAAACAACAAAGCTGAGCCGAATTAGACATCGCAAATTACCTTCACCTTTATAGTCTATGAAAAAATATTTAATGCATATTTAATTTTTTGTGCATTATACATTAAGCATTATACAATTAAATATTGGTTAATAATATTTTTGCATATTGCAACATATGCCTTGACAATTTAGACCTTTAATGATTTACTGGGGGTCTTTTACACTTAAAAGGTTAAGTTGTTTCAATTGTTAATACTAGGAAAAGTTTGATTGGTAAAAGTAAATGTGTGTCGACCAGTTGACTTGTGGTCACTTTAGACCTCGCGATGATATACTGTCAGCTTTGAGATCCGTCAGTTAGGATAAAATCGATAGTGCTTCATTGTTAAAAAAAAAAAACGCGTATGACGAGGTTCACACTGTTCTCTAACCATAATATTCCCTAGAATTTGATTATGTGGACACAATTGTTTGATACTACAGAACGAGGATATTCAGCTCATACTCATGATGAACGTATCAATAGACATTGATAGGTAAATATCGAGTAAATTCTTTGACCGAACACATTTGAAAATATTGTAGGTGGAGAAAGACTATAAAAAGTGTATCCGTTAAACTAACAAGGGAATCTGCTATTTCAATTCCACTCTAATATTCGAGATAGATTTAGGTTGAATACAGTACATAGAATGTAAAAAATTTTTTTAATTTCCTTTCAGAATTTCTAAAAAAGTATCTTTTGACATATTTGCCACTTAAATAAAGATAGAAAGTAAATCTCGTAAATCTGCTGATTTTAAAAATATAATAATTAGAATATAAATGATTTACCTTCTTTAGCTTCTCCTGATGTAAATTTTTGTCTACCTCCGACTTCTTTCACAGCATCATCAACGACTTTTTGTGACACACGGATCGCATTGAACAATTGTACAACTTTATAAAAGGAATTGATCAAAAATCAAGACATAATAATATTTGTCATAGTTAATCGTAGAATAGAAATTTACCTCCTCTCGTAGCAACTTTCCTTAACTTTCTTTCTGCATCAATGGTCGCGAAATCAGTTTTTACACGATCTTTAGAGGCAATTTTCTTCTTTTCTATATTGATTGCTTTGCGCGCACGATATTCGAGTTTCGCTTCATCAAGGAGTCGCTCTATATTTTTAGAACGTGATAGGATTGGTACCTACACAATATAATTCAAATTAATGTTGTTGCAAAGTCCACCTGAAAACACTCCTGATTGCTAGCTAGCTAGTAATGAACAGTACGTTTCGATCAGAGGAATTAACAGAACTTTTTAAGATTTTGTTTATGGCGGCAGCAAACTCGTCCGACATCGATTATCGTTATGTTAACCAGTTTTTTGATAGGTTGATGTGAATTTGAAATTTTATCACCACAAATCCTATCCAATAGGTGGTTTTAACTTTAACAATGTCGAACCACAAAACTTTCACAATTGGTAGTCGCAAATCTCAACTTGCTCTAGTACAAACGAGACAAGTTCAATCTGCCTTACAATTATCATATCCGGATTTCGAATTTCCAATAATAAGTATGACTACTGTTGGTGATCAAATTCTCAATAAACCATTATTCCAAATAGGAGAAAAATCTTTGTTCACCAAAGAATTAGAAGTTGCTTTACAAAATAAAACTGTTGACCTGGTGGTTCACAGTTTAAAAGATTTACCCACTACCCTGCCTGACGGAATGACCATTGGCGCAATTATGAAACGAGAGAATCCGAAAGATGCTGTCGTAATAAAAAAAGGTTTAAACTTTAATTCTTTAGATGAATTACCGGAGGGAAGTGTAATTGGAACAAGTAGCGTGAGAAGAACCGCACAATTAAAGAAAGCCTTTCCGAACTTAGTATTCCAAGATATTGTAAGCATGTTTCTTATTCCATGCTAACCAATGTTGAGTTCGCTAATATTTGATTCTTTTTATCCAAACTTCCATAAAAGAGGGGTAACTTGTAAGTATTACTATTCGAAGTTCTTTAATTTGATGCAAGCGATTTACACACCACGATCATTTGAATTTAGAAATACTCGTCTTGCAAAATTAGATGATCCGAATGGTCCGTATTCTGCCTTGATATTAGCCGTCGCGGGTCTCATTCGCCTAAACTTAAATAATAGAATATCACAAATTCTTCCCTCTTCGGTTATACTGCATGCAGTTGGTCAAGGTGCCTTAGCTGTAGAATGTCGAACCGATGACGCTCAAATCATAAAAATTATTTCTGTACTTGAAGATAAAGACACGATGTTGCGTTGTACGGCTGAACGTTCTATGCTGAGAACTTTAGAAGGTGGTTGTAGTGTACCAATTGGCGTTCACACGGACTTCATAAAATCTAGTGACTGCAAACGGAAACTAAAGTTAATTGGTTTAATCGCGAGGCTTGACGGTTCAGAGATAATTCAGGCTGAAGCTGTAAAAGAAATAGATGAGGATGGAATCGATGCTGCAAATGAGCTTGGCAAGGAGGTAGCATCGACATTGGTGGAAAAAGGAGCAACCAGCATTTTGGATGAATTAAAAAACGCTAAAAGTTAATATAGGTCGTAATTCATCATATTCTACGTAATTACTTTTATAATTAATCTGTTCAATAGATATGAGTGGGCGATAAACTTGTACGTTAATTAATGACATTATGTACATCATGATTTGCCTTATTCTAAATAAAATTCCATTAGCTCGATGAGTTATTATTAACACCACCGTATTGCAAGATAAGTTCATAACAAAAGAACATGATGGCCGCATTGGGAACAACACGCATCACATGTGCGGTCATGCCACCATAGAAAGCTGAAAAACCTTCTTCTTTAAAAATAGTCTTGACACAGTGAACTAGACCTTTATATTTAGCACCTTCTGAGGGAAGCTGTCTTAAACGAGTTCGGACCACCTTATTATTATAAACACAAGTTTTATCTCAATTGATCGGATTGAATATTACGATCTTTCAGAATGAATTGATACTTACTTCATGAGGATAACTAATGCAAGCCGCAAAAAATTTTGAGGAACCTGCGGCAAAAAAATTATCTATCATGTGCCAATAAGGTTTCTCGGCTTCATCAGACATACTTCGTCGTCTTTCTCTTCGTTCTGAAAGTTTCGATTTTAGGTATTCGTAAGCGACCCATTGTATAGTACCCTCAGTTATACCTAGAATTCCAAGGTAATAAAAATAGATAAGTAAATAAATAATAATAATAAACCTTAAAGCAATAATTACCTAAGTAGGATGCACTCAATCCTTTATATAATCCTGTTATTCCTTCTTCTTTAACAACTTTCTTCAAGCAGTCAAAAGAATTCTTGTATTTAATAGGCAATGCAGACGAAACCGATGATGTTTGAAGTTGCATTCGAGTCTTAACAAGCCATATTGGGTTGGTCGCAGTGGAAGTCACAAGTCCTAGTTGGAAGTAATTTCATTTAACAAAAAGAAAATAGAAATCTAGAGTGGTTCAAAGTCAGTTCAACCTGCAATAACAGCAGCTGTCAAGTGTACATAGGCTGTTTCTTGTCCCCCATTCCAATTTATTAAAATTCGTTTGCCATTGCCATATGTAAAGAAATTAATCGCTCTATAAAAAATTAAACAGTTAAACACTAAACAAGTGGCAATTTATACTTAATAAAACGTTGACTACCTAGCTGGTATAACACCAATGAGGTTTGGTCCTAACCCTTTGAATAATGCTCTCCAGCCTTCGGTCCGGTACATATATCTAGCATCACATTACATCTTTTAGTTTATAATAAATTAAGATAATGAAAGGAATAAAATGTACGTTAACAATTTTCCAGTGTCAATAAAATGTCCCAAAATTGGTATATATGATCGAACAAATGGCTGTATCGACTGAGTTTTGGAGCCGTAAATCGATGACTGAACAAATATAAGGTCAGAAAGCTTTAAAACAACTTCAACATAAAAACAAAAGATTACCTGTAAACGAGTTCTCACAACATCTAAAGGTGAGGTAACGATTGCTCCGGCCATTCCTCCGACACTAAAGAGGTCAGGTAATGAGGTTCTTATCGTGATATGAGACCCAAAAGCATGAATAAATAGATACAATACAATACGTTACCCTCCAGCCACAAAGTGAAGCCATGCTTTAGAAGCGTTTGTTGCTTGACTTTTTGTTGGAGCTTGATGTATTACATTTGTGCCTTGTGAAAATTTTAATTGTGATTTTTTGTTCGCTGTTGTTGCCATGTCTGATTTATACATTCGAAGAGCTAGGGTCTTCAGTACGCGTGTTATGTAATAACCAAAAAGTAGTACTACAACTTTTTTCCTATTATGACTTTTATTAGAATTGGTTTTTTTTATGTTGTCAAACCTATATACATAATAATCTTTATTACCTTTTATTATAATCTTATTTGCTGATCTTTTTATCTTTAAATTTCAACTTAGAAAGCCTGTTAATTTAAAAAAAAAAACTTCCACTTTTTCTTCTTGCACTTGAAAATTTTATTTTTAGAAAATTTTATTTTTTTACAAATCTTTTTATATATCTTTTTTTTTTTTTTTTTACTTTTTTTTTACTTTTTTTTGAAGTTTTTTTTTCTTTAAATTTCTTTTTTTTTTTATTTTATTATCTTCTTTAGTTAATTAATTTTTTTCAAAATATAGACTTTGAAATTTTTTCTCTTTTTATAATTTTTTAGAAAAAAAATAAACAGTTTATTTCTTTCAAAAAATCAATATAATTATTATTATCAAATTTAATATTTTTTATTTATTAATAGTTAGATTAGATATATCTAAAAAGTCTTTATATAATTTTTTTTTTTTTAAATAAATAGTTATATCTTTATTCAAATTTTAGTAAATATACATTAATTTTCTTATTGATACTTGATACACTTAGAAATTAACTAACTTAAATTTATAGTATAATTTGAATATCAATAAGAACTATGTTTTATTGCAAAGCTTATCACTAGTAAAAGCAACATTATTTTTTGATTGGTTATATTAAGCATTACTGATTTCTAAAAAAATTATTTATGAATCAACTTTTCTATATCTTCCAATCTCAAATTTGTAAATTTTTTTATTAAAATTTCTTAACATCTAATAGATTATCTATCAGAATACTATATTTCTGTTCTTTTCCAAAGAAAGAAGAAGGAAACTTCTTCATTATCAACTTTTAAGATCACAACGAAGAGGAATGATTTCAGTGTCTAGCTTTATTGGTCCTATTCCAATTGTTCAAGACCCCAGATTCAGTTGTTACTACTTCTAAAATGATTATATTAGCTAAATGATACAATTTTAATTATTTATTTCTTGTATTTAAGAAAATAGAGTTCTATTGTAATCTAAATACAATCTTTTTATACATGGATAAAAACCTAATACTGTTGTTCTTACTAGCATCTTGAAATATTTTCTTATCTTAATGATTACCTGAAAGATTATAACTTGAAAAGTGAATTGAATCTAAATCTAACCAATACCTTAAAATTTATAACAAGATTGACAATTTAGTTTTTTATATAATGCTTTACTTTAAGCATAGGCTGCTTATTTAAAAAGATGCAACTCTTTTAAAGTTAGGCTATGTCTTAAGGGAATCTTCCATTCTGACAAATGTTATCAACTAAGTATCCTTACTAAAGATAAAATGTTAAATATCACTAATGAGCTTAACAGCTCTTTTGGCAGAAGAAGTTATATTGAAGATTTTGTTAAGTGGTTTACAATTTGAGATTCTCCACAAACCATAAATCAAAATCAAAAAACTTCATAAGAAAAAATATTTTATCCACCTTGTTTGTATTTATATATATAAGGAAAAATAAAGGAAAAAAAAGAGAGAGAAGAAAAATAAAGGAAGTATATATGCAAATCCAATTATATCAAAACAAACATCTTATTGCTTTGCTCTTTCTGTTTGAAAATATGATATTATTGAAGTTATGTAATATGGATAAAAACATGTTCTTTTTTTGTTTATCTGTTACTTGTTTATTGTTATACAATTTAGATTTTCAGTCAATAGAAATCCAGCAGATCTGGTGTAACCAAAAATTCAAGGTCAAATTGAGGTAAGCAAAATTCTTTAGAAAAACTAAAAAATTTTGAAAACATGTTAGAAAGGTAGATGTACTTATGTTGTGGAGGTTTCTGAAGATCAAGATATCTAATAACCTTTTAGATTATTCTTTCTAATAGAAATACTGATATCACAGTGGTGAAAAAAAGAAAAAAAATCAAATAAATCATCTCTTTCCTAAAAAACTCTTTTTTGCCATCAAAGATTAGATAAGTAAAAACTAAGGAGCCTTTTTGTTTTTACTTTGTTAAAAGGATAAATAAAACAGTAAAAAGTATAAAAGTATCTTGCCAAGATCTATCAAGTTGTATTAAGGAAAATATATGGATTTTGTTAAGAGTAAAAACATGCTTTAGTCTGAATATTGTTTTGAAGTATTGATTAGAGAATCAGTAGAAAGAGTTTTTTTGAAGTCTTTATATAATTATTATTATTTAAATTTTTTTGAAATTATATTTTATAGTATTCAATAATATGGTAACCAATATCAATATAAAAAAATCTATATATATAAATAAATATTTAATAAAATAATATATAATAATTAAGAATTTTAATTATTTTTATAAAAAAAGTTAATAATAATAATATATGTTTCTTATATACTTATTTATAAGTATAAATAAGATTTTTATATTTATATAAATTCAAATAATCAATTATTGATTTTATATTATAGTTAAATATTTTTATAATGATATTTTTTATAACGACTTCTGGTTATAACAATATAATTTTGTTTACCTGTTTATTATAATATATAGTAAAAAATTAATTTTATACCAATAAACTGGTTATAATGATACAAATGATCTGATCTAGACATATTGATATCCCTTAAATTGTAACGCAGGCAAATTTGCCTGCATATTTAAAATTTTAATAAGTTTTTAAAAAATTTTAATAAA